GTGTGTGTGTGTGTGTGTGTGTGTGTGTGTGTGTGTGTGTGTGTGTGAGGGCCAGTTTGTTTTGTTTTTCCCTTACTTCAGCACATCTGAGAGAGCTTTTCTGGAACTCCTGAGCCCTGTCCAAACAAAGATGGCCGAATGTGAGGGATGAAGGGGAGGTGGATCAGGGTGTGCGTGCGTGTGTGTGTGTGTGTGTGTGTGTATGTGTGTGTGTGTGTGTGTGTGTGTATGTGTGTGTATTTGTGATTTTTCAAGTAAGCCGGGACCAGAAGGGCCTTGCGAAAAACCAAAAAGAGGGAGGGAGAAAACCGAGCCCCTGAGAAAGGCAGCTGGAAACACGGAGACTTGCGGTCTTTCTCCCCCTCATCCCCCACCTCTCTCTCCCTGGTCCAGCTGCACTCAGATGTGTCTGCCTGGCCCCCCCTCCAAAATCCCCCACCACCCACCCACCCCTGCGCTCCCAAGCTCAATGCCACTGCCAAGGAGGGAGAGAAAGAGGGAGAGTGTCGCAGCTGGTAATACTTACTGGCCATTTTGCTGCGGTAAAGGCATGAGATTCATTAGGCCAGGGCCCGCGTGTTATGTGCTGAGTACCGGCCGTGTTATTGTTAGGATGTGGTAAACTTATAAATATGGAGGGGTGAGGGGGATTTGGGGGTGCAGGAATCTAAGTGGAAGGGCTGGAGAGGAGCGAGAGAGTGAGGTGGTGGTGGCGGAAGGGGGGGGGGGACATGCCACTCATTAAATCCTCTGCCACAGTCTTGTTTCTCATGATTGGGTGGCGATAAAAAAAGTCTGTCACAATTTGTCAAAGTTAATGACTCAATGGCACACCAGCACTCACGCGCTGGAAGACACGCTAACATATGTCGAATTAGTCAATAGCTTTATAATTGAAGAAATAAGGATTCCGTCTTTAGCCAAATGAAGCGGACTTAGAGGGCCCTCAGAGGGAATTTTGCAATTTGGTCAGGTCGATTGCAGAATGGCAATCACCAAGGCTTAGCACTGCTTTCCTCACGCAACTGTAAGTTTCTTTCTTTCTTTCTTTCTTTCTTTCTTTTGCTTTCTTTCCTCCCTCCCACCTCCTTGAGCTGTGTGTTCTTTATGACCTGTGACTCTGGAACAGCGTCTAGCCTCCACTTCAGCTCCTCTATCTGTGAACTTTGTAAGACTGATAAAGACACCTAGATGGACTCCTTTGGTTTGCCGTCTCCCTCCCTCTCTCTCGTTGTCCCACCACATACACACACACACACACACACACACACACACACACACGCACACAGAGTCGTCCAAAGACACTCCAATGACACTGCTTGTCATTGCTGAAATGTAGCCATTGGTTAAACACTCTCTCTTCCTCTCCCTCCCCTCTCTGTCCGTATCTCCGTCTTGTGTCCTATTTTGTCATTTGCCGACTGGCTCTGTAAATACGAATAAAAGTTGCAGCTTTTCGTTGGAGTGTTGTTGGAGTGAACAACAAAACTGAATCAGGAGTCTTCTCGCTATGCTGGCTGAGGTAAATGATTGCACAAATCTGTAAATAACAACAATCTGGGCATTGATTTTTCTTTCTTCTTGTTGCTCTGACACTTTTTGTGATATTCTAATAATAATGTCGGTGGATGTAGCACTTGGTTGCAAATAATCTGAATAGAGCAATTATTCCGAGTTCAGCATAGTTTATACATAGTTTTTGTGTTTCTGCAGCTGTTGGGTTTGCAGGCCCAGGTGTTTACAAGTAAACCACCATGCTGACACACTGTTTGAACAAAACTCGGTGGAAAGAAACAAATATTATTGCCCAGTCGTGTGTCTTGAAAACCAGCCAATCTGTCTACAGTAGTGTTCGGTTTAGTTGAAAAAACACATACACATAATTTGGAGATTGCTTACACACAATTAGTGCAGCCGTTTTTACATTAAAAATGGTCAAAGAAAATAAAGAGCTATTGGCAAGATTACGTCTAGGAACTCTTCCAAGAATTCTCTGGCTGCAAGCTAGTGTGAGTAGGGGAATTCACTGAGCGTGTGTGTGCATGTGTGTGTGAGTGTGTGTGTGTGTGTGTGCATGTTTGCATGAGAGGGAATGTGGGAGAGTGTGTGGGCGTTTGTATGTGTGTAGTCCAGGAGGTAGAGTCCCACCCTGTAGACTAGTGTGATGACTAAATGTCAATTTGGGGGAGTCTCAGCAGTGCTGGCCTCCTGTCGTCACACTGCTTTCAAGTCTGCACCGTTTGTGTGTGTGTGTGTGTGTGTGGGTGTGTGTGTGTGTGTGTGTGTGTACCGTCGCCCACGCCAACCAATGATCGCCATAGAGATGTCCCCTCGCAGAGAGGGGTCGGCAATATGTCTGGGCTCTGACTAATACTTTCTGTTTGTGTTAGGGTGTAGATGGGGGGGGAAGTAAAGAGCAGACGATGTTGGTCATCTTCTCTCCCCTCTCTCCATTTCCACCAACCCGACCACCTCCACCACTCCTTCCATTTATCTCCTGTCCCCTTCCCTTTTACTCCCTCTCTCCTACCTCAAACATGTGTCCGGTCGTACTGTGTGGTCATGTCACTCCCTCAAGTCTCCAGGCAGAAAGCAAGCATTCTGGTCCTCAGTGTGATATTTGCATTCGGAGGCAATCAAAGGGCCAGCGAGTGCAGGTGTCAAGTCTGACAGGGAGTTGTCCATATCTGGCTCCTTCTGATAGGCTGAAGGTCAGAGCAGATCTAGGATGCATTGACGACAACAACCTCTTTCATTTTGTTTCCTTTCCTGTCCACACAATGACCAGTGATAAGGGAGCGTGTCTTTGAAGAAAGCAAAGCCAAACAACTAGCAGAGCGAATATCTGGCTTTTTATTTTACGTCCTTGCTAAAAGCAATTAGTTCAACACATAATTAAGTGACATTTGGATTATTGATTAAGCGTTGAATTAATTTATGAAGCAAAAATATCACATAATTGCTGGTTGCAGCCTCTCAAACAAGTGGATTCTCTTTTCTCCAAGTAGATTTAATGTATTTGTTTTTTAGACATTTGGGGAGACGAAGAAACAAATAAGAACTTTTAAATTCTTAAAGAATTATGACATATGTACTGAGCAGGCCATCCATAGTAGTAGTATGAAACGATAAAACCAGTCGATGATATTGTTCATGCAGTATAATTCATTTAGATATTCAGTTGAACTGTAACACCAACATAGAGTTCAGTTTATCATATAAAATAAACTTGTACCAAAAGTTGTATCTTTTGGGCAGCATTTTTTATTTTTTTTTACCTTCTATACCTCCCCTCATCAGCTTTCCTCTGCCTCCTCCACCTTTGCCGCAACACCTCTTCCCCACCTTTCCGATACAGCAGCTTGCCTGACTCTCCCTCACCCCCCTCCCCACTGCTCCCCTTGCTATCTCACTTCTCTTCCTTTTCGTCATCTTTCCCTTCTTTCTCGCTCTTTATCTCCCTCCATCCCCCCCCCTGCCTCCCCTAGCACCCTTCTTTGAACCTGGCCTTGTGCCTGTGGACCCAGAGGTCTGTCACTGGGCAGATGGTTTGATCTCTGGCTGGGGAAATGCTTTGAGGAGAGCTGAGAGGGGCCAGGGGCCTGGACTGGGGGGCCTCTGCCTGGACCTGCTGTCTACACAAAAGATGGGAGAAACTGCTGCTCCCTTGATGCTTGGGTATTTGAACTGACAGTGTAGTCCAGTGTTAACGCTGTGGTACAGCTCTCCATCTATACAGGCTGCACTGACTGAGAGCATGGCATATGATAGCGAGATCACAGGGTTGTGTTTCTGTCCAGTATTGGGATATTATTCCCCTTCTCCTTCTCGGTTTCACAATATGAAAGCCAGCTGGGACCTTTTTCCCGTTCACTTCATAAACAAGCATGACTGTCCCGAAGTACACGCACGGCTATTTATCATGCGAGTGAGTCAGACTGAGAGTTTCGTCATTGATCTGATTTGAAATGTTTCGGGGTGGTTCTGTGACTGTCAATCCACACGGAAAAAGGCAGGAATGTTGGAAGCAGGAATGTTGCTTGCTGGATTGTGGAGTAATACGATGGGTGTTCTGCCTGTGTATGTGAAAGGAGTGCAGAGCGTGAGTCACATCTGACGGCTGACGAACGTAAAACGACAGGACTGGTCGTCCGGTCAATGGTGAAACTCGATGTCATCTGGAATGAAAGATATCATCAACACTCACAGTTCAGTTGTTTAGATTGTCCAGTTATGAACTTCAGATTTATGTTCCTGATTAGTGATTCTCATCAATGACAGCTGTATTGCAATTTCATTACTAGCAGGCAGCAATCCCACATGTTGCGTGTGTTCACAAAAAGGTGGAAGAAATGGTTCGATGTGTCAGATGGCATCACCAAAAGGCTGGGAACTGTGAACAACAGCAAGTGCTGCCAAACTGTGACTTTATCTCTCAACAGTAATCTTGTAATCTATTACATTTAAACCAGACTTGCTATTTTCTATCACTTCGGCCCAATTGAGCCGGCTTGAAGTTATGACCCCTTTATTCTTTAGGTCGGCAGGACCTAACATGGCTACATGAAGACAAAACTGTGTTGCAGTAATAGCAGGTGAATTACAACACAATCTGAGAGGCACTGCCAAACATCTGAAACTTGTTTTTCTTTGACACAATATGTTCACAGATTAATTTTATCATTCCACAGTCTTTGTTAATTGTTTATTTTGCCATGCTCACTTCATTTCCAAACTTCATTTTCAAATTTGGCCCTTTTGGGTAATTCACAGTAAGTTACTAACATGCCTTCAAATGGCGCTAAATCGAAACATTGTGATAACTCTTTATATAAATTGAATTAGATTTGAGGCACATTCACTGATTGACAAGAAATCTCAAAATCTGTCAAGTCACAAAGAGCATTAATTAAGGGTGCGTGCAAACAACAGACATGGCTGCTTCCATTTGTTTGGCTTAAAGACAGGAGAAAGAGAGGAAGAAAAGAGAGGGGTCCCAGGTCGCCGCATGAATACATGAAAACACATGCTTCTCTTCTCCTTCTGTAATCCACCAGGGACTCACGCCCCATTTGGTTCCCATTAGCATAGCTCTGGTCGCTCTGCCCCGTGTCAAAGCCCAGACGCACAGCTGCACAAAGGACAGGGACCTCTGGCTCTGTGACTGCCAGCCGCTGGGCTGAAAAACCAGAACTGAAACGGAGGACGGGCCTTACACTGTGGGGATTTCAGAGGGAAGAAGCTAGTCTAGTCTGTCGACTACAGTTCAGTACAACAGTTTTACACTGAAGTCAGCACGCATGTGACTAATCATTGTTTATTTTGTAGCACTTTGTGAGGCAAGAAAGCTCTGTTTCAAGTCAAATCCAATGTATGAAATCAAACAAGCAACAATTAGCCATGGCATGAGGTATTTGCTCCCCTGTATTTTGTGGCGTGCTGTGTCTGACTACAAAGACTTTCTTTATTCAGCGTGTTTTATTTGTCACCTGTTTCCAATATGAACATCGTGAAGTCCTGATCTATCTGTCGGAGCCAGGGCCTTGTTTTATGACACGCAAAGCTGCTGTGCCTCTTTTCCTACACACGTTGGCTGCACATTTCTGGCAGGAAATTGACGGCATTTCAGCAGCTAACTCATGGATGAGATAATATCTTGTGGGTGGAAGAGAGGACAAGATGCTCCCAGTGTTTTACAGTGACCCTAAGCAGAAACAAATTTAAATCTGAAGCTGCTGCTGCAAAGACGCACACATATGCGCATGTACACACAGGGTTTTCATTTAAATCTCGGCTTTGCTTAACTCACCAAACAAGAGATGTGGTCTGTGGCTGTGTGTTGAACATGGTAACGGTTTCAATTAAAGTAGGAGGAACAATACCCGACCAGCATCTAGCAGCTGTCTGGGTTGGCTTTTCCACTGCACGCTGTCAAGGGAGGATACAGAGAGGCTGAAAGGGACTAGTGGTGTTTTAGTGGTGTTTTCGGTAGCATAATGTTACAACGTCAACTTTAAAATATGACAGGGTAGTAAAACAGTTGTACAGGATAGTATTTTAGCAGCACAATCAGTTCTATGGCTTCATAGTCTCCGTCTTTGTCGACCTCTACATATGCTGCTCATTTGCATGTGATTCTGGGCCATGTTGCCATGTCTTTCCCAGTCTGTTTAAAATCCATATTGGACCCGACTACAGAAGTCCAGGCTGAATCCATCTTGTTCTGCAGCTCCTCTTTCCTGCAGCTCTTCAGTCCATCTGTCCCACTAACAGTTTTTTAATTGAGAGTCCTCCCCAGACTGATGCTGGCCATTGCTGACTGTCAGTGTTTATACAATTGGGCTGGGACAGGGACTGTGAGCCAAGCAAAACATCCATGAAACATCAAGCCTCCAGCTAAACAAAGTCCAGCAGTGAGACACACACACACTTGAGCCAGATAAGGGTAGAAAACGATGCTTTCTGAACACAGCTAGGTTAAGCTGTTGACCATAACGCGGCAGCTGTGTGAGAGTGTTGACTGTTGTCTAGCTCTAATCACTACAGCACTGTGGGATTTTCTTCACTCGCTAACAACTTTCACTGTCTAGCTGCTCATTTTTCTGGAGATTTACGAAGTCACACACACTCGCTCACACACACCCCTCTGTCCTATTCCTCACCGTTTTCCTCTTTCGTTGGAAGCCAAAGAGGAAACCCTGGCGAGACGCTAGCACAGTGACTAATGCTGTGTATCTGGCCGGGCCTCAGATAACATAGCCTCCTCCCCTGCCTGCTGTGACAAATATGTGCGAGTGTAGCGGTGGGATCCGGACCCAAGCATGTCCCTGACCCGGCTCAGGCCAGACACAGGTTAAACCACGGCCAAATGCAGCCCAGATCCAAGCTGGCAACAGAAGCAGAGCAGTTTTGAGTATGTGAGAATCATGAGAAGAAGTCTTGATGATGATTCCGTCTTACTTGTTTCCTCTGACAAGCCACACACGCAGGCAAACTCACATCCTTGATGATGTTGCTTTTGATGGCCATCTTTGACACATCCGTCTGCTGCCTCTCTTAAAAAAAACGTCTGTAATCAGTCTGTAATCTTTCATCTTATTGCGTATGATCAATTCTGATGCCGTCATATCACAAACATTTCCCATGTTGCGCTTCTCTTACAAGTTCCTAACTGAACGTGGAACAGTGCGCAAATGAATCCCAAGAAAATAACAGGCAGAGTACTCCTCTCCCTTCCCTTTTCTCCCGTCAGTGCCTCTTCAGTTGAGGGGGCTTGCTGCTTTAATGCTCCTTAATGCTGCTGTCTGCTTAATGGGCCAGATATGAGAGGTGCTGCTAGCCAGCGTAATAAGTCAGTGATTAGAGGGCGCCTTGTCACAGCAGCAGCCCCGCAGACAGTGGCATGCTCTAATTGCCGTATTAGACGCCCCTTAACTATCTTGTCAGCTGTCAGACCCGAGCTCATAAACAGCAGAGGTGCATTTGATATTTCCAATTGTTTATTTCCATCTGCTGCCGCAGAGAGAGGTAATTAGAATAGGGTTGTGTTGTGTGACATCACCGTGCTAAATTTGGGTACTCCATAATAGAGTTTGCAAAAATCTTTATACAAGAAGAGTTCTATAAAGGGTAAATCCGTCTGTGGCAAAATTTCTGGTATGGAATCGCAACTAATAAAAATGTATTGACTAATTATTTTAGTTCTTAGCATTATTGAAGCTTTCTAGAGAGCAGTGCAACAGCAGTTTCCTGACCATTTAAGTTCAATTTAAGTTAAATACATTATAGATGCATCCATAACCATAATTAAGATCTGGTGACAAGATAGGCTACGTTGTGGGTATATTACATCGTGACAATATGTAGTAGGAAACTGCATTTGAATGTGAAGAACAGTATAATAAAACAGCTTTCTGAGTGCAGCCTGTATCGGAAGGGTCACAGGTTTGAGCCATGCCTGGTCAATGAATGTCTGCTACATAAGTGTCCTTGAGTTGAACGCTGAACTCACTTATTGCACGTAGCTCTGGATAAGAACGTCGGCTCAGGTCATAATGTATGTACACTCAAACTGACACATGGCGTGTAATCCTCACACACGGTGAGGATTGCCGTGCGTGCACCTGGAGAGCTTAAAAATGGTGTAAAGTCAAATAATATCAGCCTCCTGTCTCATCCGGTGTCAAACAGTGAGGTGACATGGTTAGAAGTGGGGTAATTTTGTGTTTAATCTCGGATTAGCCCATGTTCGCTTTGACACCTCCAGTTACTAATCTGGTTTACGACACTTTAGGGCGAGCTGAGTTAGTTTATGGTCCCTTAGTAGATTATGAGTGAGCTGGGTTTTATATATCCTGAATTACAGGATATTGGTCTAATCCACAGACTAGATAAGGCTATTTCCTGCTGCTGAACACCAGAATGTGCTCTCGGGTCAATACTGGTGCACATAAGGAAAGAGCACAAATATTCTGTCACCTCTAATCGTGCCTTGACCTCAGCTGTGTGACGTAAAGGCTGATCTGTTGCTGCGGATCCTTTTCTACGTGGAAGTGCTGATCGACTGTTTCAGACATTGTGAAATATAGGTCGCTGGCGCAGACATGGACTCCAACCTACGATCCTCCGTGTGCACGTCTGTGTCACATTATTGTCACACCGTTGCCTTATAAGACTAACAGCCAGACAATATGTGATAGCATATTTAGTACGGATTGTAAATTCATAAAGTGTCATGCTCTTATAAGTAGCTTTGGTGTGAGGACAAGCACCTTGACATGGATCTCTACGAGTAGTGCCGTCGCATAAAAATATGACAAGTTTCCTCAGTACTGGATTATTAGGATTTTCCTGTGAAAATAAATAGGCAACCACTCACAGCAGTCACCTTGTACACTAAACCCTAACTTCCTGCCTCAAGCATTCCTACAATTTTTACTCTGTAATTTTAGTGATTTCTTTCCTTTACAGCCTAAATAACTAACACCCCTAAGTCATTCGCCACTGACTCAACAACATATGTGCCAAATGTAAAATACATTATCCTTATCGAGTGGAATTGCTGTTTATTATACCAAGCTATTAACTATTTAATTCCAACATCAGCAGCCAACACACTTGCAGCACATGTTTAACAAGGACATACAGTATTTGATTTTAACAAGAGAGACGTGCTTTACGAGTGAAACGGGTCCAATATTTCTTCTCCATAAGCAAGGTTTGCTGCACAGATCCTCCTGCATCTGCAGATTCCCTTTGAGGCAGTTTAGGTTTTGCAGGAGTGTGACCATCTTTATCCATCAATTCATCTTGATAATGTAAAAAAAAAAATGTCTGATAAAGAAAGGGCTGCCAGTGCTTATTAAGATTCATGTTTCTAATTCCTTTTTCTCTTTTGACTCCTTTTATTCTGTCTTCTTGTTTCTCCATGTCAGTGTAAAATTTACGGCTTGCAGCTGCGGCACTTGTGATGATAGAGCTGTATTCATTTGTGTGGATTTCTGTATATACCGTACATTTTCTCCCTGCTGTACAATCTCTTTATTGTTTGAAGAAGGTGAAACATCATCTCGGTGCAAAAAAGCACCTGGATTTCTGTTCGAGTTTTTAACAGCCCTTGATGAAGGCTTAGGCAGACGATGCATTGTGCTGTACTGAGTTGCCCTCGTCAAGTCTGGACACTTAACCTCTCACTACTAAAAGCTTCCCGGGGTCAGACTAAGTGCAGCTCCAGTGTTGAGTAATGGAGCCTCAGTCAAAACAAGTTAAATTTCTGCGTTTTTAGGAGAGGAAGTCCTTTGTCGGTTCTCATGAACTCTGGGAAATTACAGTATGGAGCAGCACATTCATGCATTGGAATGAAATAGTAGTCGGGAAATCTGTTGGCTGCAACTGCTGATGTGTTTTCTTTATCACAATTGTCACATTTTTAAGGAAGTGTGATCATTTGTCCCTGTGCTTCTTTTTTTTTTTGTATTTACGACTGTTCGCTGATAACCGCTCATTCTCAGTCCTTGCTTTATCATCTCTCCTCTGTACTTGAGCTGCGATTGATGTGGATTTGTCTGTTTCTGTCTCTGCAGGCCATTCGCTGCACACTGGTGAACTGCACATGTGAGTGTTTCCAGCCAGGGAAGATTCACCTACGAACATGTGACATGTGCAAACATGGCTGGGTAGCTCACGGTGAGTCAATTCTTTGTTAGGGTGGCAGGTTTATCTGAATATGGTTTCATTAAAAATAAACTGAATTTACTTAAATTACAACACATGTATCTCAAATGTTTTGTGTCATTTTGTATTTACTGCAGACAGTAGCTTCTCTCTGTCTGTGGTTGTGAATGTACTAAAATCCAAATGTTTTTACTCATTTTCCGTAGTAGAAGAAACTTTGCTTTCATTGTCTTGTTTTTGCACCTTTTTGCCAAAAAACAACAACTAAAAAAAAATAAAACAAAACAACCACTAGACAGATAGAGAAGCGAGAGACCACACCTCATGAGTTTTTCACGCGGGTGTAAGAAAAAGGGAGAGGAGGCAAGAAAGTACAAAGAGAAGGAGGCGGGTGAAAAAGAAAACACCTGTTTGGCCTGCGTCTGCACGAGAGTGAGCCATGGGCCCTTCAGCGGATCGCACAAGACCCCATTGACTATTTTTTAATCTCTCCCTCTGAACTGTCAGGCGCCCATCTCTCCTCTCCCCCACTTTTCATTTCATGTCGGCATTGGCAGGGTCTCTGACAAGTAGTTCTTCATTTTTTATTATGTTCGTGTCTGGCTGCGCTGTGTTGTCAGGCAAAGCACTCGTCAGCAGGAAAAAGCCGTCCCAGGATCAGAGAGAGACCCGACCAGGTGTCACCCAGACAGACGGTGGGGGGGGGGGGGGGTATGAGGGAAGGGGAGAGAGAGGGATTGAGACAGAGAGGAAGAAAGAGAGAGTCGACCAGGTGTCGCGCAGACAGCCGGAGAGGAGAAAGAGGTGACTGAGGTTGCGATACAGGGGGCGATAACAAAACCTGACATGCACTCACGATTAAGCTTTACGAATTACTTTTTTTGAACCTTTGACTTCATTGTGCCCCCACTTCTGAAACCAGACCTACTTCCTTGAATTCATAGTACATAAACCATTTGAGCACACACCTGATTAGAAATAAATAAATAGGATAAAACAAGTGCAGCAACAAACAGAGAGGAATAAGATTTAAAACAGTTTGGCTGTAATGGAGGTTGGAAGTGAATAGAAAGGGAGATGTAAGAGCAGCATGAATGTAAAAGAGAAAGAGATTAGATTAGATAAAAAGAATGGCAGATAATTACATTCGTGTCATTGCTTTTATCTGATTGATATGTTCTTATCAGCTAGTGCTGACCGCGCAGTAGCCCCCGAAAGAAGATTTGAGATGAGGAGGAAACTTGATCGTCATTGACCGTGCCCGTCTGCCCGTGTGTGAGTTTCCTTTTTTTTTTTTTTTTGGTTTCTCATCTTGTCACCCGGTGATTCACGCAGCTCTGGACAAGCTCAGCACCCAGCACCTGTACCACCCGACCCAGGTGGAGATCGTTCAGTCCAATGTGGTGTTCGACATCAGCAGCCTGATGCTGTACGGCACCCAGGCCGTACCCGTCAGGCTCAAGATCCTTCTAGACCGCCTCTTCTCCGTGCTGAAGCAGGAAGAGGTGCTGCACATCCTGCACGGCCTGGGCTGGACCCTCCGAGACTACGTCAGGGGCTACATACTGCAGGTCAGTGACCAACACGCATGCTACACGTGTAAAGCATCATATAGGTTTAGTTTGAATGTTATATGTTATAAATATTAGCGGTACATCCTCTATACTTAAGCACAAATGCATCCCTGCCCATGCTTTTATTTGCTGGCAATTTGCGATGTTTTTTGAAAGTGGGAATAATGTACGCAGTGATCACTACCATTACTTCTCACCAAGTGCATCTACAAATTTCTCTGGCACTGCAGTTATTTTGAGAGGTATTGATCACAAGCACAACAGTGACAATCTAAGCCACTTTAGTCCCATTGCCCATCCATTTTCCTCACATTTTCCCTGCTTTTACTTCTACTTCAGTCTGCCCTGCCCTGTAAACACTATGCCCCTCTGCTGGGAAAGGAATAAAAAAAAAAAATAGAATAAAGAGGAGAAAAAATGTCATGCCAGCAAACTATAATACCACTGTAGTGCGTTTCCTCTCTCCATCTATCCTTCCCGCCAACACTCCCTCCCATATAATTGCAGTCAGACACATTTCTCAATCAAAGGTATGGAGGTTTTGGTGTTGAAACCCAAACCAAAGTGTTCCTGAATGAATTAGTGAAGAGCAAGTGAACATGTGCATATGGTTAGTGTGTGTGCGCATGTGTGTGCGCGTGTGTGTGTGTGTGTGTATACGTGTGTGTCTGTTGTGTGCACATGTGCTTATCTGTATTCGTACATGGTTTAGTCTTCCAAGAGTTTAAGTGGAACAGCATGGTGAGGAGAGGGTGGTTTGTATGTGGAAACAGCTTCTGTGAGTAAAGCGCTCGCAGACCCAGTCGCGTTTTCTTAAAGTCTTTAAGAGCACACACACACACACACACACACACACACACAAAATAAACAATAGCGGCCCGGCCGTTATATGGAACTACATTTATATAGAAAATATGGTTTGCTATTTGAGATTACAATTTACAGTTAATAAAAAGAATTGTGAGTAAAAATACATTTAAAAATTATAAATATCAGAAAATCTGGTAAATTAAAGAAATATAATATAATAATCCCATTTTTACATTCAAATTACATTTGCTTATTTTTCCTAATTGAAACGAAAAACTATTTAATTATCAATAAAACCGTTCAGAATCTTTTTGCCTAATTGACTGATGGTTTGGTCTTTCAAATGTCTGAACCCAAGATGATCCTCAAATGTGTTGTGAATCTAAAACCCCAAAATATTAAATTTGAAATAATATGAAACACAGACAAGCAGCAAATCTGCTTAGAATATTTAATACTAAAATAACAATCATCTAAATTCTTGCTGGTTAATTACTGTTGACTAACTAATTAATCGACTAACAGTTTCTGCTCTAAAAAAAAAAGAATTTCAATATTTTCCCCGTTACTAGACTAAACTAGACTAAACATAACTCAGAGTGATACGGCCTTGTATTGAGCAACCATCGGAGCACTGTGGTTCTCATAGTCGTAGCCTCTGAGTATATATCAGCTGGCTCTAATAGTCAGCTGGTGGGAGCATCGTTGCTCAACTGCTCAGCCTCATGTCACGCTACTGGCTAAATCCTCTAGATCGCCTCAGAAGGGCTTCAAAGGGGCCGCGTGCCGGCGAGAAGCAGCCAGTCACTTAAGGACAGTAAGTAGTCATTGTACGGCCCTATTAGCCTGTAAGTAGCTATGAAATTCAATCATCTTCCTCGAGCCACCGGCCAACGCTTTATGTCAGGGGTTTGCCCCCCCCCCCCCTTTCCCCACCACCATGCCGCGTTAAAAGAGAGATGAAATGAGTAGAACACTATTTCAGACGACAGATACTACGTTGTATTTTTGATTTTGACGTCAGGGAACATCATTTGATGATAAATTATTTTACTGTGACCCTAGCGGTTAAAAAACTCTCACCGATTTAGAATTTGAATAAAAATGTTTTGGTATTTTAATTGATGTTGTAATGAGATATGCTATAAATCATTATAATTATACATCAAATACAGCACCTATTTCTAAATTATATTCAAAAGAAGCCTCACTTACAACACATTTCACTTTTTCTCTTTGTCCAACCCCCTTTATTTCTACTATGTCATAATGTGTCACAATAAGTTTAGATTGAGAAAGGAATGTGTGTGTTTGGTGCGTTGCGTTTGCTGGGTGTCAGTGTGTTTGGGTGTCAGTGATGCGCCAGAGAACTCAGGACATCGAGCTGACAGAGTTTACCTGCAGCTCCTCTGATGCCTGACCACCTGAATGTATGCAGCGCAGGAAGAAGGGTAAAAAAAAGCACACTTATATTCGACCAATCAAACAGAGAAAACCCCCGGAAAACACAGACACAGCTTGGCATCAGTATTCTGCCTTCAGACCAGCACATGATTTAAATAGCTGGCAGGCCTACGGAGTAGTCATATTAGAAAAGAGAAGGCCTCATTGCTCAAAATCACGTGTTACACCCCCTTCATGACACCGTTCTACTCTTAGTGCTTTCGTTTAGGGAAGTGAATGCCAGTGTTTGTGGCACCCACTGATGGTCAGCCTACTTCTTCTTATATTCATTTATGTTCTTCAAGTGTAAATCACACAGCTGCGCAAAAAACAACTTTGTCTTTAGTGTTCACAGTGATTTTGGTGCTTCCCTCTATGGTTGCCACGGTATGTGCTTCCTCCACTTGGACACTGCTAAGCAGGATTACATCACCAAAAACTGTTTTCTCCCGATGAGGATCTTTAGGATATCTCCACACAACACTCACATATCTCCTTCTCATCACACACAGCATGATTGAGTGAAACACTCATGTACTTTACGTATACATTGATGTACAACTCTAGCCAACCACTCGTGTTTTGCTCATTCATATCAGAAGCATCAGTGCTGTCTCATCACCACCCTGCGTACCATCGCATTTTGGAAAACTAGCATCATTACTTTAGTGTAGATTACCTGCAGAATAAACTCTCAAGAGTAAAGTAATACTACAAATATGTCGCCTTTGCATTTAAGTTTTGATTTACAGAAGGAATTAATTCATGTCAACCTCTGAGATACACTTTGCCTTCTTCCGTCCTCACTGCCATTCACTGCATGTCATTCGCAAACACATTGTAGAGGTGTGACTAAACCTCTACACTGTGCAATTTATCTTTGTAATAGGCTCCTTTAACTAAAGAAATTAATCAATATTATTAAACATGAAATGGCTTATCAAGCGGTTGGAATTTTGATTTGTAAAGGAGAGGAATTATACATGACGTCAATAACCATTACAATGAATGATTGTCTTTCTCTCCCTCTCCTGTCCTTCTATAAACCGTTTGAAGCCTGACCTTCAGTCCACAAACTGCTCTCTCATCGTATTAACACACTTGTACACCAGCAAATCCATACAGACAGTTTCTGAAGTATTAAACATAAACAAATGTACGCACACAGGTTTGTTTACCCGACCACGCATCTGCACAATAATAAAATGTGTCCAGCTGTATCTAAGTTCCTAATAAACACGTTCTTGCTGTCGGAAGAGAATAACTCCCTCCTGTCATCACATTCTCAAGAGTTTAAAAGTTATTTAATGAGCTTTGCAATGTCCGTTACCATGGCAGTAGTAGTCTCGTGTTATGTGAAATATTCTGAAAACTCACGCAGCCAACTTTACTTTGTAAAAATACATAGTTTTTCTGGTTGGATAACGTTTGTTAACAAAGTGGGATCTGACTGCATACACATCTACATTAAAATATACTTAAATAGTATTGAATCTGTACATTTGGTAAATGGACTTGCATTTATATATAGCCTTTCTAGTCTACCGACCACTCAAATCACTTTACACTACATGTTAACATCCACACATGCATGCAGACATGGATGATACAAGGTACCAGCTGTCCATCAGGACGTAAACTAATGCTTATTTACACACACTGTAATGCCTTCAGGAGCAATTTGGGGTTTAATATCTTGCCCTATATAGTCTGCCTGAAAACAAAACTAAACAAAAAGGAACAGAACAGGTGTTAGCATTTGGCTCTTGACAGAAAATTACCTTGAAATATAATTTACAAAGTACAATATGTACAAAGTAAAACGGCCTTGCTTTAAGGCTTAAGACTATGTATTTTCCACATTATCTAAAGGCTTTGAAAGGGTTGTGTGAGTCTGAGAGGCCAGAGAATTATCTCAACTGGAGTCATCTGAAAAAACATGAAAAAATGACAGAAAGTTACGTGCGTGATATTTTATTCTACCGTCTTCACTGCATTATGTCTCTGCTATTTCACCCCTGTCCCCCTAGCTGAAGTTCAATCCAAGGCATTATGTGAACGACACAGACACATTTATTTGTTGCCAGAATTCTTTGCTCTTCACTTTGTCAGGACTTTCACCTTCTCCACTCCTCGGCCCTTCATCCTTTTCTCCCTCCCTCCCTCTACTCATCCCTCTCTCCTCTCCCGTGGTTGTTTCCAGACAGACCCACAGCCAATGTGCACCAGATGCCCTCCCACCTCCGCAGCCTGTCACTGCTCACTGCTCTGTTCGATACAGACAGATGGAATTGCTATCAGTACTGGCTCCTCTCTCTCTCTCTGTCTCAGCTCTGTCTCCCACACTCCACACTGTCTATTTTGCCTTCCTCTTTCTTATCCCTTACAAAGTGAAAAATAAGTAGAGAGAGAGAGAATGAGTGGAAAGAGAAGGAGAAGAGAGACGCAGGCTTTTCAGCCAACATATGGACCAAAGCCCTGGGTTTTCCTGAGCGACATTCTCAGTAATGTTCTGTCCTTGTAGAACATTGGGCTGCCTCCACTTTTATGAGATGTGGTTTTCCTGACTCCACACGGCTTCCAGGAGACCCAGATGGAACCGCTAACAACCCCCACCGCCGCCGCCACGCGCACACACACACACACACACACACACACACACACACACACGCACACACACACACACACTGTACTCACACAAACAGCCTTAACCGTAATTGCACACACACTCGGAGGAAGGCTTA